AACTCATCTTTATAATGTGTATTGAGTGTTTTCTAGACTACTCTCGTCGATTTAAAACTTTATCTGTAAATTCCTTACCCAAGTGTAACTCTCCTTAGATACTTTCTGATATATATTTAAGACCGTATTTACATTTGTTTGCATGCCCAGTGTCACATGATGTTATACAAAGCTTGTATTTCGTTTGTAATTTGCCTACACACTTCAAATTGATTTGAATGTGCCAAAACTGAAAGTGTAGTATATTATTAACCCGGAAGGCTGGTTGACAATTTATTGTTGCACTGCATGGTCCTTTCCTTTAAGCCAAGAGAAAAACATTGCTAAATTTCTTATTTGTGATTCACTTTGACTGACGGTTTGTTTTCAAAAATGTTGCAAAATCCGAAAAAAAATATACGTAGTTGATTCAATTATTCATGCTTGTTAATAGTCAAGTCCTTCAATCTACTGATTTTGAAGGCCATCTTGAAATCTAAAGTTAACAAATAAAATGTTGACAATATATTAATGCATTGTTGATGACTAGTTTATTAAATCATGAACATTTGTACTATTAACGGTTTTAAGAATTTTCTTCAACAATAAAAACATTTCTGCATATCGTATTGAATACTTTTATTAAAAAAATATATAATTTTTATACAAATTTCCTTCACATAAGAAGTAACTACTCTGGGTTAAGCTTTTATATTTTTTTAAAACTATAAATTTAAGATAAAACAAATTTAAGATAAAACATTTTTTTTGTGCAAATGTCTGAAAAGGGACATAAGAATGCTATCATAATAATATATTTTTTCTTTCAAAACTAATTTTTTTCATGAAATGATTTACTTACGCTTTAAGAGAATGAAACTTTTATGCTGTTTCCTATTCTTTTGTGAGTTAGGTAAACACAACAACTAAATTGAAAATCAGTCCATTCTGAAACGGCAATTAAACAAAATTGTTTACTGTCAAAACTGTTAATTTACACTAGCGCAGCTTTAACAAAATATACTCTAATTTTCTATGTTAGCATAAAACATTATAATTGACTTCTACCAGAGATAGTTATAATCCAGTGTTTAATTTGTATCTATGCCAAGTTATTTCAATCACTTTTTTTGTTCCCTTACTTGAATAATGTGAAACAATCTCTTTACAAATTAAATTATTTAAAAACAATTAATACGTAAGTAAATTACAATTTCTATTATTACAAGCATTAAAGACTCAACAATATGGAAATAAACAAAGTTGCCTTTCATTCTTAGACTAGATTTTAAGTCAAAATCAAAGAAATTTAAGAATACAGTATACTACATTACATTTTATTATTAAAAAATAGTTCAGTATTTAAAAAAAAGCCTCAATATGTCATGCTACCGAGGCAAAACCAAGACGCATGAAGTTTAAACCTTTATTCCGTAAATCGTTGAATATGGTAAAAAGCTGAAATGATACAAAATAACGCTGTATAACTAACAAATCATCTGGGAAAAATACATGTTAACCAGCAAACTCCGGAGGAGTGTTTGACTACCTCGTAATTCAACAATCGGGTCTTAAACATGAACAATATACAGACTTTTATGTAAAATTGATTAAGTACAATGTTGAAAGACACATGTTGGTAAAAAGTTTTGACTAGTAATAGAGAAATTCTCCTTACAAAACATTAAAGTAAATATCTTGTGAATAATTCTTAATAAAACCACACTAAAAAACACCATAACTATGTTTTGGTACGAAAATGCATGGAACGAAAAATTATGGGTACGAAACATAACGCGAAAACATATTACATTATCTCACCTACATTAATTACATTTTAAATTAACTAATTTCCGATTTAAATCAATTCCAAAATTTGTAAAGAAAGAAAATAAAGTAAAAACCTACACAATGTGGGGCTATGAGGACTAGAATATTGATTTTGTATAAAATGTACTCGTTGGAAACAACGGGAAACTAGCGTGGTTGCAAATATACGAAAAGTACCCGAAAATACCGAAAAGAACAAAATTCAACAAAAATCACTGGAACACCTGTTCCAGTACACTCTCCGTTTAGTATGAATTACCAAACTTCTATGCTCTTCTTAACATTTAAATTTTGAAACAATACAATTTTGATAAATGAATAACATTGTTAAAACTTAAACAGACTCAAAAATTAAAAACAAAAGTATTTACCAATTTCAAAATATCACCAAAGAAAACAAATTGAAAAATGGATTACGATTTAACAAGTGTAACTTATCATACTTATCATTGTACATGAATAAATCATAAGCATAGTGTTCTTGTATTTCTAAGGATATTAGTTTATCCTCCATTACAATTAAATCAGTTATCAATAGCACAATTTGCTTATCACACCGAAAGTACTGTTATTAACGTTGTTCAACATTGTTCAATCAAGAAAAGAACCAATTCCGTGATAGGACGCACTAGCTGTTTCTGGTTCCAAGGCCTTCGTTAATTGTTATTTCCACTGTACGGTTTTTTCCCCATCTACGTACTAGCAAAAACCTCTGGCTGAAACCACCAAATTTTGGCCCAAAATTTGAGTTCCGATGGAGTTCGATGTCCTTTCAACAAAGAACTCAAAATTTCACCTTCTTTTGATGGATTGTTCTCATTGTAACCATTTTTTTGTAAATTTTGAATGTTTGGGAAGATATCCATTTTTCCAAATTGCTGTCTCCAAAAGGGTTTTGGGTTTAAGAACTGCAGCAATACTTCCACTGTGCCTTTATAATAATTGTCTTTCAAAGAATAAGATGAGTTCACCTTCCAAGGTTCAAGCTTTCTGAGTATAGAGCAATCTGCAAGGAGTCATACTTCTGGGTCTTCAGGGCTCTCAATGGAAATGGGAGCATATAGGTCGCGAGTTTTGATTGCATTCTCACTCATACATAAAGGTACAGAGAATTTCGTGAGGAGTTTTTGAGAATGAGTCCTTTAATAACATTAGCATCAAGTATCCTTCTGGTAAGACGCAATGAGCTCCGTTCCCAATACGCCTCTCATGTGTAGGTCCAATTTTAATAGCCCCTTTTTCGTTTTGCCTTTTTCTTGCCAAATTTCCTTCCTTTTAAAAAAGTTCGCAAAAGCAAAAAAACCCGTTTTCCCCAACGGCGCCCCAAAAAAGAAAAAAATCCACCAACCAACTCCCTGTTAAAACGGGAAAAAACCCCCCTTTTTTTGGAGGCCCCCTTTCCCCCCTTCCCCTTGCTTTGGGCCTTTTTTAAATCTGACTTTACGCTGGGGTGGGGGCTTCCCCCGAAAGTTTGCGACTTTATCACGCATAAATTGAAGGTTTCTGTTGATTTGAGGGTTTTGCCCCCAACTCCCCCAAAAACCCTTTTGTCCCGAAGAGAAATTTTTCTGTCATAAGTCTCCCTTTGGTGATGAATTTTTTCAATGTTTAATGTCAAATTTAAGCATGTGGCAAAATTGTGATTTTTTGGGTTTTATTAATAATGGGCTGCTTCACATTATTAGGCAGAGGGCCTTTTCCCCTAATATTTTTCCCCCAAAAATCTTAAAACAATGATTGCAACAAATTTTTCTCATTTTTAAACAATACGGGGCTGCTTTTTGGAATACTTTTTCCCTTTCAGAAAGTAACCTACCTTTTTTGCAAAAAAGTTTTGTTGAAACAGCTTAAAAAGTTTTAAACGTTTCTTTTTCTGTGTCAGTTCAATGCCCGGCTTATTTTTCTTAGACTTCTTAAAAGAGGAAAAACGTTTCTTTAAGAGCAAAAAGGCTCTTATGAGTGAACCCATTTTGAAATTTTTTCAAATTTTTCATTTTAATGTTTCTTTATCGAAAGGGTTTTAAAGGGTTTTGACAATTTCCGAATTTTCACGGTCTTCATCAGGTTTTGATGAGTTTAAAAAATTCGGGATGGTTGATTTGAATTAACAACATCTTCTTGGAGACTGCTTTCGTCTAAACTCGTTTGAATTTCTGTTTTCTCATGAATTCCTTTATTGCGATCTATGACAGGTCCTTTGATCCAAACGCTATCTAGTGACACAGATGAACATCTTGTTGCAGATTTGCAGGATTTTTATTTGTTGAAACATATCTCCATTGTTCAGTTCTTGTAACATTGAGTATTCTTTCAACACGATTACTGACATATGTGTAGAATCGACGAGTCTTATTGTATATGTACCCTAAAACCACTTTGCTATCTGTATAAAAGATCATTCCACACAGCGGAATATCTAACTGTACTGATACAATCTCTGCTATTTCTGTAGAATGAACTGCGGCACACAATTCGAGTCTGGAATACTGTGTCCTTTCATTGGTGCTAATTTAGCTTTGCCAAAAAGAAAGCCAGAGAATGTACACAACCTTTAGAAATCGGTCAAGTTGAGGTACGATACAGAAGCTATTGCCTTTTTCTGAAGCATCAGAGTAGATTGAGACAGAGACACCGGTAGCGAGACTGTATGAAAATTGAGTGGAACATGCGTGGAATACTTATAGTCTGCAATTTTTTCAACAGATTCCCTCCATTCCTGCCATTTAGTCACATGGTCTGTAGACAATGGAACATCCCAATCAAGACCGGACGAAATAGCTTCACGAAGAAGAATTTTCCCTGTAATGGTTATTGGAGCAATAAACCCGAGCAGATCATATATACTGTTTATCATGGAGAGAACACCCTTCTTGTAACAGGCTTTTCACCTAACTGAACACTGAACACGAAGTGGTCTTTCTTAAGATCCCAAACCAACCGAGACTGCGTTGTGTTGGTAGAACATCCGTCCCAAAATCTAATGATTTCAATTCGCCTGCTAAGTCTTCAGGAGGAAAAGCGCCCAAAACCTGTAAGTCGTTCGAAGCAACCTTGTGTAATCTTATATTTCCTCCTTTCTTCAAGGCAGTTTTGTGTTTCTTCAACAGTTCTATAGCTTCGCGAGATGTTGGTCTTGATGTTAAACGCATCGTCAACATAGAAATTCTCTTTGCACAAATTGTTTCACATCTTCATCTGCAGTTTTGGACTGCCTTCCTTAAGCCATATGTTGCAACTGCAGGAGAGGCACTATTGCCAAAAACGTGTACACACATTCTGTATTCAGTGAGGTCTTTATCTGGGTTATTTTCACTATACCAGAAGAATCTCAGAAAATCTCGATGCTTTGTAGAAACCCTGAATCTATAAAACATTTGTTCCACATCAGCAGAGATGGCCACTTCATCTTTACGGAATCTAAGCAGGACGCCGAGTAGACTGTTAGTCATGTCTGGACCAGACATTAAGACACTATTTAAAGAAAATCCATGAAATGTCGCAGAAGAGTCGAATACTCCCCGTAACTGCTCAGGCTTTTTCGGGTGATACACTCCGAAGAGGGGTAAATACCAGCACTCACTACCTCTTTCTAAAGGTAATGCACTTTCACATGCTTCATTGTTGATTATCTTACTCATGAAATTAACAAAATGTTCTCTCTTGACTGGGTTTCTTTTGAGATTGGCATCTAGGATTTGAGCCCGCCGCAAAACCTGATGTTTATTGTTAGGCAACTTTGATCTATTTGACTTAAAAGGTAAAGGTGCAGTCCAAAAACCGTCTTGATCTACTTTCATTTCTTCATCCATGAGTCGAAGAAATTGCTTATCTTCAATCGAAAGGCCAAGTTGATTGTCCTTGTTCGTTCGTACAAAAAGTTGATCTTCGCCACCACAGTAATCATGATTCAATGACTTGGAACTTTCTTTCAAACTCAGTGTGTAAGGACAAGGTTCCATATATGTAGACTGTCCAGTGGATAGTACATGAGTCTTTTTTACGGAAACTGTATCTGGTAAGTGTAAACGTCCTGAACAAACTTCTCCTATAATAACCCATCCAAGTGGCAATCTTTGAGCAAATGGGGTGCCTTTCTGACCGGTTATTTGTTCAAGCACATGATGTACCTCTGGAAGATCCCTTCCTATCAACAACTGAATGTTCACATTTTCTATTTTAGGTATTTCTTTTACAATACATTTAAGATGATCATAGGCTTCAGCTACTTCTCGTGTAGGTATCTCTGAACGTTCATTTGGAATATCGTCGCATTCTGTGACTATAGGTAATTGTACAAGCATAGAACCATCCACTGCCCTTACACACAGATTATTTGTCCTACGGCCATACCTAGTTACACGGCCAGAGCATGATGACAATGTATATGGAGTTGCTTCAGTATGTACATTTAATTTGTCGAACAGTTCCATGGTTCCCAATGTTCCATTACTCTGATCATCGATGATAGCATACACCCGTACAGCGTTTTCTAAATGACCCTGCGGATATACATCTACTAGCACAGTTTTACTGCAAGATCTGCCTACGAATTTGTCTCCACACAGAGAGGTACACTTAGAGTTCAAACCTTGCATTCCCTTGGACTCCCCGCCGTCGTCTGTCTCTGGTCTTTCTATATGCATCGAAGACGCATGACCTTTGCCGCATTTTACGCACCTCACTTCTGTTTTGCAGTCTCTTGCAACATGTCTTACTGAATCTAAGCACCTGTAACAAATTCTTTTTTCTTTCAGAAAATTTCTTTTCTCCATTAGTGACATTTTATTGAATGCTTTGCATATGTTTAGGGAATGGTTTGCTTTGTGTATAGGGCACCTTTGATCACTAGTATTATCAGATTGTTTTTGCTCTATTTCATGTTTCTTTACAAACATCTTGTGTTCTTTCACTTTCATTGATTCAAAGTCATACCTAAAAGCTGGATCGTTTTTGGTGCTACTGATTTCTTTGATGAAGTTTATGAAGAATTCAAATGGTGGATATATGACATTGTAATCACGTTTATACCTGGAAGCACTGTATGTCCATTTTTCTTGGATACCAAGTGGTAGTTTCCTAACAATTCTATTTACACCTGAAGACGAATCAAAGTAGGCCAGTAAAGAAGAGTATGTTGGGTTACTTTTCAAATATTCAATTTCACAAAGAATGTCTATAAGGTCGTACAGTTTTGACATGTCTTTATAGTCAATTCTTGGGAATTCTTCTAACCTTCTGTCATGTGGTCGATATTCGTGTTTTTGAATATCGTTTTTATGTATCATTTTGTCCTTGTATTTGTATATATATCTCTTGTATTTGTATGTTTCTTTACAGTCCGATATACAATCCATTATCCCATATCATTCCTATATCATTCCATTTCATCATCTCTTAATAACAACTAATTTCTCATATTTCATTTGACATAATTTGCATGCCGGGCCTCAGTTTTTACAAACTTCCCGGAAAATCCACCCCCCACACTGGCCACCAATGTCGTATGGTCCTTTTCAAATGTATGAATGGTCGTTTATGCCTGTAAGGACATAAAACATACGCCTTGATAAATAAATAAACAAGATAAACAATTTCTGGCGCAAACCAAGAGAAATATTTATACCAAAGTGCATTAATACAGATCCGAAATACATAAACGATCAATGGAAATATGCATGATAATGAAACATAATGAATAACAACAATTACCTGTAAGGACATAAAACATACGCCTTGATAATAAATAAACAAGATAAACAATTTCTGGCGCAAACCAAGAGAAATATTTATACCAAAGTGCGCATGCGTGAGGTGGATTTTCCGGGAAGTTTGTAAAAACTGAGGCCCGGCATGCAAATTATGTCAAATGAAATATGAGAAATTAGTTGTTATAATGAGATGATGAAATGGAATGATATAGGAATGATATGGGATAATGGATTGTATATCGGACTGTAAAGAAACATACAAATACAAGAGATATATATACAAATACAAGGACAAAATGATACATAAAAACGATATTCAAAAACACGAATATCGACCACATGACACTTCTTTTCAGAGTTGCTTCGACAAGTTCTGGTCTTCCATACCGTTCATCCAATCGATGCCATATTTCTTCCTTAGCTTTTCCCAAATTATTTGTATTTGCAGCCTTAATTGCCCTTGCTGATCTTGTAGATTGTGGGCCTAAATACTTTATGAGCAAGTCAACCTCTTCTGCATTGTCTAGGCATAAGTTTCCACATACACTTTTGAAGCTCGACTTCCAGGAAGCAAAGGTTTCAGGTTTGTCGTCAAACTGTGTGAACCTTGAAAGCTGTAAATCCTTTTTCATTAAGAATTGTGATAAACTGGTGGTGATATCACTGTCAGCTGGCTGTATTAATGATCGTGGTTCAAAGGCTGGCACACTAGGATTAAGATGTGAGAGCTTTTCAATATAATCTCTGGTAAAACTTTCCTTATTTATTATACTTTCATTGTCAATCATTTGTGAGTCTGAATCTTTCATTGCTTCATTTTCAACTTTCAAAATGTTCAGAGCACTATTTAACTCTGCTTCTTTCCTTTCGCATTTTGCCTTTGCAATTTGTAATTCTTCTTGAGCGATTGCTTTTTCTTTCATTATATCTGCTTCCTTCTTTTTGTACTCGAGATTGGCTTTCTGTAAAATAGTATTATGTGACTTTATAGACAGCTTGTCAGCTCTACTTGCAGCTTTGCTCTCCAGCATGTTTAATCGTATGTCACGTAAACATTTTGTTTCTGTAAGCACCAACTGTTTTCTTCTTGAATGGTATTTTTCTGTGGCATTCAGTTCTTCAAGTGATTCATTACTGTGAATCTGGCGTAAAAATGTCTCATATAAGTCATTTTGAGCTTCATACTTCTGGAAGTAATTTGCCAATTCAGTTTCTAAATCTCTGCATTTTTCTATGTTGGGATTTTCATGATCACATATGTTGTGGATGTCGACAATTAAACTTTCTACGCTATCCCATGCCTTATCCAAGTCAAATGTGAGTTTACTTCTTCTATTCTCATATATTTCTTTCCCAGCTTCTGTGAGGGTTCTTTCGCGCCTTTCTCTATCCATCGCTTCTTCTGGAGGAACTCCATCTTTTTCTTCAAATGTTGACATAGTCGTATTGTCTTTTTACTGTCATGCTACCGAGGCAAAACCAAGACGCATGAAGTTTAAACCTTTATTCCGTTGAATATGGTAAAAAGACAATGTGGGGCTATGAGGACTAGAATATTGATTTTGTATAAAATGTACTCGTTGGAAACAACGGGAAACTAACGTGGTTGCAAATGTACGAAAAGTACCCGAAAATACCGAAAAGAACAAAATTCAACAAAAATCACTGGAACACCTGTTCCAGTACATGCACTCTTTGTACTGACAATGTTGTTAAGGATGGAACTCACTTTGTATTCAAATGCTCTAGGCACAACGATTTACGTCTTAATTTAATTCCCAAATCTAAAGAGAGTAGCAGTGACTGAAATGATTTTATTGTCTGTTATTATACAATTATTCTCCCCATGAAAATAAATGCATTCAGAAGTCAAGTATTCCGATGACTCTCATTTTCGTTTGTCAATTGTACAATTTTTATTAGTCTGTACCAACTGTTTTTGTTCAGTTTTGGGAGCAATATCATAGTCGAAGGATCACTGCTGCATGAATATATCTGCGGAGTTTTCAAAACTAAACCATTATCTTTATCCAAATGTTAAAGTCTCTTTACCAAAAACGAGGAGGATAGCATTCATGAAAATAACCGGCTATGCCAGACTTAAGATTTGAATTTTGACATGTATACGTATTGAGCCCGTGCTATGGCACATTCTCAGGCTCACGTGCAATAAGCAAGTCTATGGCGTTCAAGTATTTGTCTTTGTATTCCCTGTTCTTGGGGATCTGTCCTTTCCAGATTCTACTTATGTTGACAATCTTTTCAAGTTAAAACAGAACACTGAGTTTATGTGGTAAAATATTTTAACCAGAACAGAGAACTCTGTCGTACAGGACAAGGCCACAAAGAAACAACAATTGAACAAAGAAATCAACAACAAAAGTAATTTGTTTGTTTTCATATTTTTTGTTTATTATCAACCAAATCTCAAAAAAAAATCATTGATAAGATCTATTCATCTTTTAAATACCTTAACAATACAATACTTCTTATTAAATGCTGTTGATCTTGTCTATGTCTTTTGTTGTCAATCATTATGACCAAGAAAACATTTATGTGTATTAATACAAGGTGTATTAAAGTGGAAGTTTTATTTGTAAAATCATGTTTCTGTTTGATGTTGTGATTGTTGATTTTTTATGAAAAACATTAATATTATAACTAGAAACGTTTTTTTTTTTATTGAAGACATTTAACTGTAATGTGGTTGTTAAATTACACAATTAACAGCAAGCGGTCTGAAATCTCATTAAAAATTCATTCTCTATGTGCTTTCAATAAAAACAATATTTATTGTTTCTTTTCACGATTTCTATTTTATTATTTTTTTAAATCCAGAAGATTTTTTTTCCTTAACAATACCAATCAATATTGGAAACCACTGTTTTTCCAAAATTATTCAGGAAAATTTTGTGTAACATGAGTATATTCCTAAAAGACAATTTAAGGTAATAATATTGTTCAAGTCATAAAAATACTGGTATGGTTTATTTAAAGGCATAAAAATGTGGTAAATATAAAGAATATGAAAATGAGGTAAATACAAAATGCATTAAATGTGATGATTTTTCAGGGCAAAACTAATATGGCTTGAATAGAGGTGAAATAAAAACAATTTATAAGGCATGTAATTATGGTAAAATAAAGTATTTGAGCCCCCCCCCCCCCCACACACACTTTTATCTATGACCTCAGTTTGTATAAATGAAAACATGGCTGCTATGTTTTGGTTTTTGACGTAGCGTCAAAGTGTAACCTATCCCAAGTGTCACGCAATTTTGGACATTTTAAAATCAATCAATTCTTAAAATGACAGTTCAAATGTCTATTCAAATCAGTATTCAATGGCTATTTCATAAAATTGGGGCGTCCGTTGCCGAGTGGTTAAGGTCGTTGACTTCAAATCACTTGCCCCTCATCGCTGTGAGTTCGAATCCCGACAGGGACTTTGGATTCTTTCATGTGAGGAAGCTATCCAGCTAGCTTACGGAACGTCGGTGGTTATACTCAGGTGCCCGTTCGTGCCTGAAATAATGCACGGAAGGGCAGCTGAGGTCTTCCTCCTCCAGTAAAGCTGGAAAGTCTCCATATGATCTATACTGTGTCGGTGTGACGTAAAATCCAATTAAACAAACAAAATTTTATGAAAAAAACAAGTTAACAATATTACAGTAATGATAAAACCAAAACTACAAGTTACATAACTTTTGTTTTATTAAAGAATATTGGAAATTGACTGCAGTGTTTCAATGTGAAGACCTTTTTGCTGGTTTTTATCATGTAATTTTCTTTCTATTTCAAGCAAGCCGGGCACATTCAGTTTCAACAAATGCTATACTGCATCTCGAGGCACAATTTATAAGATTTAGAATGGTTCTTTAGATATTAAATGTATGATGAAATTGAATTCATCTGTGCATTAAATTCATTTTCAAATTTACCATTGTTTGGAGTAATTGGTACAAAAACTCTTGATATTCTAATTATTTCTATTTCATCAATAATTGTTTTCACAGAACACACAATTGGCGCAAAATTATTTCAATAACTATATAACCACTTTTTTCTACATTAAGTGAATCTGTTTTGTAACTTACGAACTGAAACATAACACAACATATGAACAAGTGCTGGCTAAGTATAGGTTAGTGTTTAATAATATGTATTAACAAAAATAATTGGTCAAGCCTGCCGCAGGCAGGCGACCAATTATTTTTGTTAATACATATTATTAAACATTAACCAATTTAATGATCAACATTATTTTTTTCAACCAAAAACAAGGCATTTCTCTAAATCACCGATAGCTCCACCCTTTCGCTCTACAAGTTGTCTACACCTTGTCAAGTTTCTAACATTTCACATTTAGATAAGCTAAATAAATGGCCCTTTCATATAATCTGGCACATTTTTACTGAAATGTCACAGAATTTATACCTTTATCTACAGTAATCACATGTAGGTAAAACAATGGATTAATGAAATGTGTACATCCTTTTAAAATAAATGGAAAATGTGAGGAAAATACATTAGAGATTATTAATTGATACAAATTCGTTATAAGCTTCAAGTTATTCACTAACATTTAAAATTCATATTGATTTGCTCATTTGAAAAACAGTTCTTTTTTTTCTGTGTGTCAATTTTGGTTTACAGGTGGAGGGGTTAGTTTACAATAAGTTTTCCAGCCAAAAAAGTAATCATTGTATTCTTAATATCAAGGATTGTTAATGCAGTTAATTCCTATCAAGTGAAAGAAAATATTTTTTGGTTACTTTTCTAGAAAATATAAAGTTAAAGCAGTCAGCAATTTATAACAGACATTTTTCTTAGAGTTAAAAGGATATAAAAAAGTTACTATGTAATCATTTGTCTCTGCCTGCCCCACATGTATTATCTATGTAATAAATCAATTGATTGTATCCTCACATTTAGAAAGCCTAATTATCTTTACATTGGCATTGTTTTGCTAACCTTTATATTTTACAATTCAGAGTGCAAACCACACCTCTAACTCCTCCCAAAAATAATGCATTACTGAAATTTGTTAGACTGGTTAGACGACAGATTAAGTAAGTTTTATTTAGTTAGTAAACATTAACCAAATTGACACACAGAAAAAAAAGAACTGTTTTTCAAATGAGCAAATCAATAGGAATTTTAAATGTTAGTGAATAACTTGAAGCTTATAACGAATTTGTATCAATTAATAATCTCTAATGTATTTTCCTCACATTTTCCATTTATTTTAAAAGGATGTACACATTTCATTAATCCATTGTTTTACCTACAATTAACATTAGACTTAGCAGAAATTTGAAAAATGCGACAATGTGATTGGACAAAAAAATAATGTTGATCATTAAGTATGCAACGTGCCGAAAACATGAACTCATCTTCTTCAAATCCGTTGATACAAATACTGGAATGCATTTGTACTAAAATGAATTGCTGCCTGTTATTTGACTTAAGCAGATATAGAATACACAAGTTTCAAAGAATTGTCATAATACCAGGTTTAAAAATACATAGTGTCATAATTCTGCAAAAAAAAAAACATCACAGAATCGTAACAAAATGCCTTCGGCAGGGCACATAATGACAATAACTCAGTAGACTTGTGAGTGAAAACCCCCTTGAAAAATGTTAAGAGTTGCACATTGGACGAATATATTTCATCCAGCTACTGACATGGTCTTCTTCCAGCTTTAATGGTAGAGGAATACCTCTGGTGCCCCTCTGCACATTATTTTTGGTACAAAAGGGCACCTAGGCTCAAACTCAATGAGTTCTTTATTGACCAAAAGAACACATCACCAATAGGGTAAAAGTTGTTTTACATTTATATATTAAAAAGTAGGTTATAAGTACAAACCATGTTCAGATAAGAAAATCTTCATACCTTTTTTGAAAGAGTGGGGTCTTTAAAATATACATTGCTTTACTCAAATCGTTTGCACAGATTTTTAAGTAACTCAGAATTAGAGGTGAAGTTGAAGGTCAGTATGGTAACTTGGTGTTTATCAATATTATTGCTACTTCAGAAATTTTCTTTCTTGTGTGACACTGTTTAAAGCAATATTATTTCTTAAATATGAACCTTGTTGCGGCAAAATGGACTCGGTCAATAGCATTTTGTTTTCAAAAAATAAAAAAAATTATAATACATGGAACAATATATATATTAGATCTAAAACGATTCTTAACAATATAAGCGAGTGCGAATTCTATATAGCATAACCAGGCTTCAAACGCACTTAATTAGTATTTGTCAAGGTGATAAATATATATGGGTCATTTTGTTTTAACTTTCAAAGAGCTTTTGACGACATGTCATCTTAGTTCTTGGTCATGTTGTCTTGAATTCTTATCAAAAATATTACATTCCAATCTTCTCTTCAAACATCCAACAATTATATATAAAACTCTTCATTAATGATCCTAAGGTTGTATTTTACAAATATTTTTAAAATGTAAGCTTTCAGTATTTGACGTTAATAAGATTCTGAGTTGAGTTTCAAAGAGAATAAACAAGACATACTTTTTAATTCTCTTTAATGAATATTACAATTTTCATTAACATGAACATTTAATTTTGTCAATTCTTTTTAAGTTTAAATTTAAGCTTTGCAAAAACAAATAGGTTTATAACACAGAAAGAATAAAATTATATTAA